TAAAGGATTGTAATTACATTTCTCCTCTGGACTTTAATGCTAAGAAAACAACCCTTCAAGCACTGAAACAGCAAACAGTGTGTCTCTAGAGTTATAGATATTATAAAAGTGTTTCTGATCTCCGTGTGTGTGTACTACTTGCATACCTTTACATTTTACTGTATCAAATAAAAACTAATAAAGTCTTACCTTCCTGGAGGATAAGTGAAACCACGTTGACCGTCGGCCTCGTGCGTCGGAGATCAGGTGATTTCTTCACATGTGGAAACATTCATACCTGTAATCGCCGTTCAGAGCCATCAGTCAAAACACACACACACACACGCACACACACTTCCTCCACCTGTTGGCGTCTGTTTCCAATTCACCTCAATAACACAGCTCACCTGTTTAAACAAATCTACATTTTATTACTTCAGCAGTGCATATACAGCATTTTAGTGGTACAAATCAACTGAACATTAAGTAAAAAAAAGTGTATTTTATCAAGTATTTTCTTATTTTCGTATGCTTGTATGTTAACTCCAAAGCCCTTATATGTGTTATGACCAGCACAATGTAATATAAAAACATGTATACTCATATGTGCTCAGAGTGAATATGCCAAAAGTAGCATAGTAAGGTCTTTTGTACAACCATTAAAACACACAAAGAAAAATACACATTTAATTGGTTAAGTGCACTCGGTTTGCAATGTGTTCTCACTTTCAAAAGGCTGCTTTATATTTTTAAAAGCATTTGAGTTATTTGACCCTGTGAGGCCGAAGCATTGATCTGAGGTCAGAGGAGCCTCTAACCAATCAGGAAAATCACATCACAACAGTTTTATCCTTCTGATATCCGATAGGCTCCGACATCAGTCGGATTCAGCTGCGAGAGGAAGAAGAACTGGACGAGACGGCGGGGTTGAATATTTTAACTGGTTGAATTGAGCCCATAAGGTTCTCATATGTGACTGATTCCACCCATAGGCAGCACCAGGGACAAATATATCTTTCATTTTTAAACCTTTTTTAGAATTAGATCTGTTGATCTAATTCGGGTGCAGCACGCATTTAACTTTTAACCTTACGTCCACTTCCTGTTGGCCAGAGCGATGCGTTTGCTGGTTATAGCAGATTAATTCCTGTAAATATCGCATCAAAGAGGAGTTTTCCTGATATTTTTAGGAACTTTTTATGCAATTATCTGCCTGTATTATGTATAATAGGCTTCTTTTTTTGACAAATTAAGTGTTTGTTTCTCCCTGACGCTGCCATTGTTCTCCTAGCTTAATACTAAAGCAGGACGAGGCTGTTTATCAGAGGATCTGTGAATATATCTGATCTTAAAGGGGAACTTGGCAACTCTCGCCATTTCTTCTCTGGTTTTCACTTTTGTCATCACA